ATATATATATATATATGTGTGTGTGTGTGTGTGTGTGTATGTGTGTATTTAATTTAATTTTTTTTATTAATTATATATATACATACATATATATATATATATATATAATTAATCTCAACAAAAAACTTTTATATTACTTTTTTAATTAAAAATTTATTTTTTAAAACATGTTTTATATACTAATTTTTAAAATACCAGAATTCAATAAGAAATTTGTGTCACATGAAAACAATTATCTATTTGAATATTTATACAAATATTATATTTTGACATTAAATATTATATTAATATGTGTGGAAGAAGTTGTCTATTGTCTTTTAGTTATTTTGGGGGCTATGGTGCTGTATAATTGATACCCGCTGTTACGATGCAAGAAGATAAGACAATGGAGTCAATGATTAAAGGTGCACTATTATGGGCAACAATTTTTGTTTTAACAATTAACAAGCAACAAACATATCTTTAGTTGGTTATGTTATCTTATTTTTAGTTAACCTAATATTAGGATTATCAATTAGTTATTTGAATTATTGTTTTATCTTACGGCACTAGAATAGGATATATAGTTACGTACAACGCGCCTTATAAATATGTTTATTATGCAAGAATTTAGGTTTGGCTTAAGAAAATTGTCTCTTGCGGAGTTTCGGAGCTTGACTCGAACAAGCTCTAACATCCACCTTTGGAATTACGTTCTAGATATACGTCAGCAACACTAGACAGCTATTTAATCATCGACGCATATGATTTTGAAAATTCTACTATTCTTTCCCACGAATCATTCTTACAACATAAATTCCATGCCAAGATCCCTAAATACCTCTCAAGATCTCCAACATTATTCATCAAACACCCTCCCTTTCACTAATAATTTGGAAATCACTATTAACCAAAATGGGGTTGTGCAAGGTTTCGTTTTCTTTATTTTGTATGTTGGGTTTGGTGACGGTGGGTCATATGGCCAACGCTCAAGACTCACATGCAGACTACGTGAACGCACACAACGCTGCAAGGGCACAAGTGGGTGTTCCAAACTTGGCTTGGGATGATACCGTTGCTGCTTATGCACAAAAATATGCTAATCAACGGAAAGGTGATTGCCAACTGGTCCACTCGAACGCCAATGATGGAAAATACGGAGAGAATATTGCGATGAGCACTGGTGACCTAAGTGGCACAGATTCTGTGAAATTGTGGGTTGATGAGAAAGCCTACTATGACTATGATTCTGACTCTTGTGCAGACGGTCAGATGTGTGGCCACTACACTCAGGTTGTTTGGAGAGACTCTGTTCGTGTTGGATGTGCCAAAGTAAGATGTGATAATGGAGGCACTTTCGTCACTTGCAACTATTCTCCCCCCGGCAACTATGTTGGCCAAAAACCCTACTAGCTTCTTTCAATTTCTGCTACCATGTTAAGAATAAGTTTTAAAATCGTGAATTTAGCTATACGTACGTCAGGACTATGAATTCATGTTATGATAAAGACTATGAATTCATGTTATGATATTTTTGTATGTGATGTAATACATGTGAGTACATTCATAACTCGCATAATCTATAATTATTAATAAAAGAAATATATTTTTAAATAATCGTTTTTCTCTCCAATTTTTTTTTTTGAATTTTTTATCTATTTGATTATGTCATAACTCCTTATCATAAAATGGAAAAAATATATTAAAAAAAATGTAACTATGAAGTATAACTGTTAGAGATATAAAATGTCTCAACCCCTCTTATTAAAATTAATGTTTGTCTTGGATAATGTGATTTGTAATTTAGGGTTTAATTTTATACTTTTTTTAATTTTATTTCTCGTTGAATTTAAGGCATGCACTTTTAAAGCATGTTTGGAAAAACAGATTGAGGAAAGAAAAAAATTCATATAGCGGAAATTTTGATAGTGTGTAGGTGCACTTCCTCGTTGGAAAATAAGAGAAAGTGGGGGTAAAAGAACTTTTGTGCTCACATTTATCTTCTTTTATCCAATCTTAAAAGGCGATCAAGAAAGAAATGGTAGGTATACGTACGTACCCATATGCAATGACAAAAACATCTTCTTTTTCTTTTACCGTATATATGAAAAAATATTTATCAAGACGATCAACTTAAATGAATATCAGAATGCCTGTTTATAAATTTCTACTTATCCCTTGTCCTAAAATATTGATTGAGTTATTTATTTAAATATGAAGAATTTTACCTGATAACATATTAGACAAGAATAAATCAATCTAATTTGTTAATATCAATATTAACATTATATATGGTTAAATTATAGATCATAGAATATATTTTAAGATAAATAATATTAATATAAATGTAATATTATTTATTAATCCAAGACATTGTATTATATTAATACAATTATTTTAAATAAAAAATAGAAGAATAAGTGACACTAATAGGATGATCCAAAAATATATAACTTGAGTTTTTCCTTATAATTATGAGCTTATTGTTTGGATACAAATTAGAAATATTTTTAAGAACTTTCTTATTGAAAATAAAAATATTTTTTTTATAGAAAAATTCTCAACATGATTATGAGCCTATGACATATACACTAATAGAACAAATTCTCCTCTGAATATTTATTTTTTAGGGCATTTGGGGAGAAGATAGTTGTTAAATTGTGTAGTATGAATTTAGGGGTAATAGTGTCTAATGAAAAAATGGAAACCAAAAAGGTAGTTATCAAAACTTATCTCTTTTATGATATACTAGCAAGAAAAAAGCACTCCGTGCCTGCATTATATTTTAAAAAATAAATAAATAAAAAAGGAAAAAATACTTTATTGGATGAATTGATAAATTTTATAATAAAATTACTAAAAAGAATGATGAAGTTTGAGTGAAAAATATTAATTGAACTAATATAAATGTTTCCTTTTTTTTATAAATTCGTTTAATATGGTAATATAAATATAATGACTTATGCGTATACGAAGATAAAAATATATCTTAAAATGTTATACAAATAAATGACAGCAAATTAAGTTATCTACTTTAAATGAGATTTCTGTTTCATAATGGTTATACATTTGCGTTAATTACTTGAAGAATAAACTTTTATGCTCATAATAGTTTTACCTTACCTGAACAAAATTATCTCTAAAAAAACTATTTTCTACATTATATTTTATAAGATAATGGGTACTTTTTATGTATCTTAATTATAGTAAATTTTATTTAATCATATATTATATTGTAAATATTTTAATTATAGTTTTGTCTTGAAACTAATTAAAGTATGTATTCTGTATTTATATATTAGTTAAAGGTTATTTATTTTAATTACAAATTAATAGATATTATAAATTGGTATCTAAATTTATGTTGAAAGGTACAATGGATGCCTAAAAAAGTCCATTTGTTGTATTAAAGTATTGAAATATTTGGGTGGAATGATTAAAAAGCTGGCAAGTTGACCTTGACCAAAGAAAAGAAATTAGCAGAAAAAGGTTAATTAAGGTTCTTCTTTCGTGGTGAATTCGCGACAACACATGACCCGCCTTGATTAAAGGCTGTGACGAAGTTAGAGGTTTCCAAGACAAGAAAATTCAGTGCATGTCATGTGTAAGTCTACCTATTCATTCACAAGGTTACTGTACTTAATTATTCATTCTAAGTTCTAACAACCCTCTATTCTAACTTTTCTTTCTATTTACCTTTTTGTAGGGGAAGTGGTCACCAAGTATTCTTAATTAATTACCTTCACACATCATAATCCAGATTATGTCATTAGATCAAAATCAAATCCCATATATACTGGAACCAATGGCAAATCTACAGAAAATCGGGATTGTTATGGTTAATCATTTAGATTTCGTAAACTACCTATATAATAATTAGATTTTAATATACAAAAAAAAAAACTAATCGTAGTTTATTAATCGGATAATATTCTATATATATATATATATATATATATATATATATATATATATTTATATATATATATATATATA